ATTATTGTCAATACCATCCGGTAGAGTCGCATTAGCCAACAGTTCAATAATCTCAGAGAATAGCTCGTCATCTAGTTTGCTAAAGTTCCATCTTTTATGATCAGAAACATTACCTTTTTTAAATATACGTTCTTTAAAGGTAAAGACAATATACAAATGATCAGAGAGGGTTTCGACCTGTTCGAGCACCGACCAATCCTCAACACGGTCGACAATACCAGAGGAAACCCATGACAAATCCACGATAGATCCACCCTGTGATCTGACACACGTATATGCCGTCCCAGTATTAAGTAGACGTAGATCGAGCATTGCCGACCATCTTGCAACTAATTCCCCACGCCTATTTGAGGTAGCGGAACCCCACAATGTCGAGTGCGCATTGAAATCACCACAAACAAGGAATGGTTGGGTGGCAAGCCTACTTATGCTGTTACTAAGATTATCTAGAGTACGACAGAAAATATCATTGTTTACATTGGGGGATACGTAACAAGAAGTCACACAGACATTCCCCATCTGTGCGATAACAAACCCATGACCACGCTCAAGAACTCTACAGCTTAGGTTGTTTAATCCCTCCGGCCTCCACAGGATAGCAGCAAGATCGTTCAAGCTCTTGAAATACGTATTACTCTCTTCGAGCCTGCTGGGGGGTTCAGCGACAATGGCAAGGCCAATGTCAGCTTCTACCATATATTGCCTAAGAAGATCCAAGGCTCCCCAGCTGCGATTGAGATTTATCTGTATGAATCTAACACTTTGCATCATGGATTTGACGATTGTGACCCTATTCTTGCCTTACTAGGCACTCTCTTTTTTAGGGATACAACACCACTAGGGTATCCGTGATTTTCGAGGCAACGTTGTGTGCCGATCCTATGCCTATGTTCCTTGCCGTCCTCTGCACAGATAAGGCATCTCAACACTCCGGTGTTACACGCACCAGCCAAGTGTCCCACCTGACCACAGCGGAAACAAGTGCCCTTCCTGTCAATTTCTGCGGCACACCGTGACGCAACGTGTCCAAAGCGCCAACATTTGTGGCACTGTATAGGGCGCTTTTTTAGGAGCTCTACTCTAACCCTAGTCCAACCAAGCGTCATCACACCATTTTCAGCGATTTTCACCGCGGTTTGCAGCGGGCAGGTTACCCAGGCAACCCCCATTCCGTCTCTCATATTAGATATGGTACTGACCTTGAATTCGTTGCGATGTGCACCACTGATGGACTCCATTTCAAGGTAGATCTCCTCCTCGGTGGTCGAAGGATCAATGCCACGTATACGTAATTCTCCCATTGTGACAGGATTTTGTACCCTAGCATCTTGTCCCAAGACTTCTGCAAGATTGGATCTGAGGACGCTTGCCAATTGTTTTCCTTGCGGACCAGGGACTTCGATAACAATGGCACCACTAATTGCACGACGGATAACTGTGGTTTGTATGCCCAGGTCCCTAAGACATACCTTTTCACGAGCTTTAGCTAGGATTTGTGCGTACGTAAGGCCATCAGGCTTGCTAGTTATAGTAACAACGGCCGGTTTCAAGAATCTTTTACCAGGTTTGGCCGTTTCTCTCTTATCCGCTACTCGACTTTGAACATTAAAACCCGATCTATTATCAGTCATTCTACGACCCCTTCCTGCCACCCTATTCCAATTCGTATCACTAGAGGGGGGGGGCAGGACTGGGGGTACTATCTGTATATTCTCAACTAACCTAATGCCCTTACTACGCGGAGTAGATTGTGTTGCAGGGATAGTTTTATCTACTTTTTTAACATAGTTCTTAAGATTAGACTTAAGTTTAGACTTAGTACTAAAATTAGCGTTATCATTATACATATTAGTATCGCTATACGCATTAGGATCGCTGTACATATTAGGATCGCTGTATATATTATGTTCGCTGTACATATTAGGGTTTAAGTTCCTTCTATACTTAGTTTTAGTTTTAGCGCTAGTTATCTCTTCTTTCTTGTGTTTGTCCTCTTCTTTAGTCCACGGGATCGACGCAGCTCCGCCCGGCCATTCTGTGTCGCGTTCCATGTATTCTCTATCCTTAGAGCAGCCAGGAATGTCGCTTGTAAGAAGCTCAACCTCCATATTGGATTCCGCTACCTCCAGTCTTACTGGGGAGACAGAGTTCTTCTTCTCCTTTCTTTCTAGTCTCTTCACATCCAGAGACGGCGCTTTCACAGGCTTTATGCCTCCATACAAGGGGGGGGCACTAGGTGTCATCACCGGAAATGGCCCAAAGCCTTCCTTAAGCGACCTAATTTCGCGTTGCAGTTCGGTTATCATTTTCCGCAGGTTGTTTATCTCCTTGCTCTGCGATTGCTCTTTTCGTTTGATTTCCTCAAGCTCCTCTCTCAGTGCGAAGTTTTCATTTTTTAGAGAAAAGGCATCTCCCGCGCAAGTAAGCCTTTCGATCATTGCCTTTGTAATTTCGGCAGCTATTCGTTTACTATCCTTCATACGCCCAGCCACTCGTCCAGAGATGTTGCTACAACGGCTTCTCTGGTTTTCAATTTCGTTCAGATGGTCAAGACACCTCGCACCCAAAGCTGCTGGGTCCATCTCTAGCCAATTTTGTCTTGAGAATTGCAGCTCTCTCTCTGCTTCTTCCTTAGATACTGCAGTCGGAATGGCTATTTTCCTTCTTGATTTCTGTCCCTGATCTTTATATGAACGTTCAGCCGCACTCTTTTTACCATCCTTCTTCTTAGTGCTTTTATTAGCCGAATAGCCACTGCTAACAATGCAACTATCGGAACTATTTACCATAAATTCATGTGGGGTACCCTCAGACCTACGCGAAAGTGAGGTGTTATGTTCATCCGAACATCCGGAGAGTTTCCTCTGTCTCTCCACCACAGACTCTATGAATTCCTCCCTAAAAGCGGAGGAACCTCTTGAATCGTTAGAGCCTGCTTCATCGAACCGTTCATCAGATTTATAGTCCTTAAGTATATCGGACTTCCTAGATTTTTTGAGCTTAGAAGCCTTGAGCTGAGAAAAGTCAGCCATTTTTTCAATCCTTTTCTTGCTTCCTCTCGTGACGCGCATATTCGATGAAAGCTCTTCCTCATCTTCTGTATCAGTATCCGTTTTAGTACCCGATTTTCTACTATCAGAGCTAATATTCTTGGGCGACTCCACAGATTCCATTATCCGAGCTTTATTGGGCCGACGAGGGAACCTTTCTATTGGGTCCTCTGCCTCGCTGATTGGAGATGTAGAGGCCTTCCTTTTTTTCTCCCTGATATTTTGCACCACTGTCTCGTCAGGTTGGTTAACATCCGGTATTTCGTAGGTGCATGACACAACCTCCAACGGATTAATCTCAGCAGTAGCTATTTGTTCTGCTGGGGCGCTGGCCGAGACCACCCCAACAGTGCCCTCGCAGGATTCCCGTCCTAAGACGGTCGACCCAGCGGCGTCGGGCTCGCCACTGTGCCGGTCTCTGGGAGATCCGAGTACTCCCTGAGACGGTAAGTTTTCCTTGTCCTTTGTGAATTCCATGTTGTATATTGATTTTGGGGGCGTAATTCGAGCGCCCCCATCCCTAGAGCGATTGGGTGTTACTTGACCCAGGGTTCGCTCAACCCTACAGGAGTTACCAGATGTAAAAAGCTCCGAATTTAATGACGCACTAAACTCAAATGAGGACAATATTTTATTAGAAGCGTCATCTATCTCTTGCTCGATCTCAAGGAGCGTGTTCTTTTTGTCCTCTAGTCTACTACTAATGTCATGAAGTGCAAACTTAGAAAGATCGATTTCCTTTATCATACGCGTATCCAGTATAATTTCCAGCTCCTGGTCACTTTCTTTATTCGTAGGTTGCGAGCAGCTTTCACACGAGTTCCTAAAAGTTCCATCAGTGTTGGTAGGTGGGAGCTCTTCTGTAAGTGGAGACAAACCACGAAGTAGACTTAGTTCTAAACTATAATCGTGCTCTCGCACTTCCATCAGCTTGATACGATGCAACAGATATTTCCGTGACATGTCCATCTGCTGACCATAGTCATACAATAACTTTACATAAGCAATTGTCGTACGAATATTATTGCGTAAGCAGACATTATTCCCGGATACAGCATATCTTTCCAACGAGTACAAATTCCTGATAGCACAGGCAACAAGGACTTCAGAGGAAATGTTGTCCTTGACAAGCCTATTCATAAGGTCTAGGATATTTATTGTCTCCTCCATTGTTGGTTAATTTATTACAGTTAACAATTAACGCAATAGTAATCTATATTTAATTATTTATTCTGTTAGTAGCAACAATCTAAACCTAGTCAACTAAAATAATTATTTTCTAGAGGTATTTAATAATGTGCATAATTTAGTAACATAGAACTATTTTACTTAAACTATCTTATAATAGCTATATATCAGTATAACAATTAATAATAAATGCAGGCAAAGCTCGGTTTACTTATACTTACTACTATTAAATAGAACAAAGTAAGTTTTCCTCAATAGGAGAGCTTATTGGGTCGAGGATAAACCAATCCTCCCAATGCGCATACGATACCTACTTATAAAAATTACTGCGCAGCCGAAACTAAAAATTAGTCTTACTATCTCAGGGGGGAGGTCAAGTAGATACCATTGCACCTGACGCGCATCCCCTATCGTAAGTATGCATCGACTGCGCAGCGAGGAAAAAATGTATTTCCGGTCTTCAGTTTAGAGCTCTATAGCGATTGGTGATCACTACAGGGTAACTCACGGACGCGGGCTACGCTTGCTTCTAACGGAAATTAACAAAACAAATATACTGTAGTTAACCACAATTAATACTCGCAACAATGCATAAACATTAGTAAAAGCCACTTTATAGGCTATAATATTATAATATATAGGATAGATATAAAAATAGGATTATACGCTATTACTAGCAAAAGTTATATTAATATTATTAACTAAAACATATATTAATAACTAATTATTACCCATTGTCGAGTAATTCAGACAATGTTCAAACAGTAATTGCATTCTTTTTCGGCTTAACCGAATTAACTTGGACGTCTTTTCATGTGTATAGGAGCCTAAGTTTTCGCCTAGTAATTTTCCCTAGGTCGCTCATCTATACACTGCATAGTATCTGACCAGCTGTCATAATACGCACCGCGTGTTCAAGGACCGCTTATATTTTTACTTATGTATTAACAACAGTAATTCAGAGAGAACTAATAATTGTTCACCCTATTACAGATGCAGATTAGCAAACGTGCCAGGTGACGATAATGACGGCAACATCCAACACACACATGTAATTGAGGTTGAACGATCCGATGTCTTCGCATTGGATTTTTGTAGTTATATCAACGCAATATTCGCAAGGGAGAACATATCATAATTCTTATATCGCTACACAGATATTAATGTGCCGAATAATATATCAAGTAAGTGCTAATGCATCCATAACCTATACTTGTCCCTGATGAGGTACATGCTAACACATTTCAATTAATGGATAAAAATTATGGAGTACAGTTTACCAGGTCATCGTTTTCTATTTACAGGTTATGAGAAGAATTCCTTTATATACTGCAATGCAATACAAGAGAGCGGAGTAAATGTCCACTACAGGTATTCTGCAGTCAATCCTCGCATAACCATAACCACACTGCACGTAATTTATTATATTATCAATGCAATGCACTACAACAACGCAATGCTATAAAGGCACTCCGCCAAAACAGCCAATGACAATTATTTGGCATAAAATTAAATGTATACGCTCCAGTACCTCGCACCAGTGAAAAACACAGACTAGTCAATAGTAATACCAGTCATTGCGAATAATCAATTCTGGATAATTATTCCATTAGACATTTCATTAATTTCTTTTATTTATTTTATATTAATTATTAGGAAATAACTACTACCACTGCAACGTATACACTATATCGCGCTCATCCATATGTAAAATCAGAATCTGCCAATGTAATTACCAATGAGGAGGCAAGCAGAATGCATCCATAGCAATGCAAAAATACAACTGCAAGGCATAAGTGTACATCTATTTCTAATATAATAGTTATAACAAAAGAGAGAAGTAACATTCACGCAATACGATATTCAAATATCGTCTAAATAATACTATTTACGGACTAAATATATATTTTCAGTAACATTATATTAGTAATTATCTTTAATACTATTTAGTAGTCTTATTATATTTGTTTTGCAAAGTTATATTCTAATAATATTGTTTGCAAACCTTTGCATGTACTCGTACAAAGTCCGCAATATAATCAGATTCATTTACTATATTGTACATACAATCACAAAGCCGTTTCAATATGAATAATGTTCATTATAACTCTTGAGTAACAAAACCTTCTGTTTTCAGGTATTATACCAATAATGTGGTGCACTCCGCAGTACAGTGTGTCTGATTACGACTCATCAGCCGTTATAGACAAGATGTGTCAGTAAATCACATAAATCAACAGTCAATCAAAAGGGCGGTAGCAACCATATCATTTACATGATGCATTATTATATGTATCCATCTATAGTTTGTATACTTATAAATTCAATTTCTAACTCAGTTATTATCCAAATATACTCGTGTCAATGTGTATTTGTGCAAAGTTCTAATATTATCATACCAGTGAGACAATAGATACAACTATTCAGCAGAGCTGTATATACGCTTCACGTTATATTCTATTTAATACAATATTAGTAACGTTAATAATGTCATTTATAATTATATATCAATTTAATGATACCAGATTTAGTGGTATGTTTGGTACAATATTCGAAAATATTATGTTGACATTGCAAAAGTTGCACTCTACAATACCATTTGCAATTACTATATACAGATAAACCATATTAATTTAGTAATATTATGATACATAAGTTCATCTCTAAGCAGCACTTTTATTCGTAAAGTAAAGCAGAATGCATCCAGACAAAATCAACAATACAATCAGATTCATTCATCTAATTCAGTTACTATGCTATTCACTACCCAACTGCGCATTCATAAGTATCTCCAAATGATAACGCTTCTATTTTTAGGTATTATACCTCTAAGGCAATACACTCAGCAGTTCAATGCACCTATTTGCAGCACATCAACCGTGACAAAATGAATGTCAGTAGTTTGCGTCAAGCACTCGTGCAACAGAAAAACAACAACCAAATATTATTTATATAACTCCAACATTATGTAAAGTGTCCATATAATTTAAATCTTTTAAGATTCAATCTTTGCACTTAATAACTATAATTATATATTAGTATCAATGTATATTCATACACAGTTCTAATTTAAGTATTATCATCCGGTGAAGTAATAAATACACTGTTCAAAGCAGATATACATGCGTTTCATGAATTATGTCATAACATTAATTAGAGTTATTTATAATTCATATTAGTTAGTATTACTATATTAAACAATATTATATTTAATATTGTGTTTCTTTTAGATATACACCATATAACTAAACTCTCCTCAGTACGGTGCACCCTTGCGCAACTCGCCAATAGCAACGAGCAAATGACATAGCAATTCACAGGGAACACGAGGCAACAACCAAGTATCACCTACGTGATTCATTCAACACAAGTGCATCCGTTTCGCTATTGCGACATAAATTATACAACTCACTTGCTCACAGATTGAGTCAAAATCAACTATTCTGCGTGTGATACTATCAGTAAGGTAGTACAAAATGTATCTATACTATAAATTATAATCAATTAGATTCAAACTAATTCGAAATTTAAGTATATGTTCATAAATGTTTCCAACTACACCACTTTCTATTTATCTTTTAGATATACTACCATATAGTTGTACACTAATCAGTACAATGCATCCTTGTGCAGCTCCCAACAGTAACAAGCGAGTGTCGCAGTAGTACACAGGGAACAGCGAAGCAACAACAGCCAAGTATCACCTACGTGATTTATTCAACACAAGTGCATCCGTTTCATGAATTATATCACAGGGATCTATCATTCATTAGTTGAAATATAATGAAAGCTTAAGTTATATAACCATTAACGGTTAAATGTTCAACAAAATAACTCAATTATTAATTAGCTAGTTAACAGCAACAATACTATAATTTCAATTTAAAACAACACTATATTAATGATTTATGTGCGATTTACACCAAGTATATATTGCTTACTTGAAAACCTTAAAATTAAGGGAATGATAAATCACAAATCGATTTCCTTCGGCTTATTTACAAGTTATTGTAGTCCTCTTTTCTGGGGCAACAATACTAACAAGGTAGAATAATTACAGTCTATTTATTCCCAGATTATATCTGCCTTCTAACATGTAGTACAGCAGTACGGAGTTGCTATAAAATTAGCCAGCTTATTAAGACATCAAAAATAACTTGACTAAATTCTTTATCATTAATTACACTATTTTCTGTTGTATCTAAGAATAAGAGCTCGCTACTGTAACATGTATTATACAACTCACTTTCTCACAGATAGAATCAAATCAACTATTCTGCATATGATACTATCAATAAATGGAACAGAATGTATCTAAACTAATTGTAATCAATTAGGTTCAAACTAATTCAAAATTTAAGTACGTATTCATAAATGTTTCATAAATGTTTCCAAACTAAACTACATTCTGTTTATCTTTTAGGTATACACCATATAACTATACTCTCATCAGTGGGGTGCACCCTTGCGCAGCTCGCCAATAGCAACGAGCAAATATCCCAGCAATTCACGGGGAGCACAGGGCGATAACAACCAAGTATCACCTACGTGATTGATTCAACACAAGTGCATCACTCAAACAAGTATTCACGCGTGGATGTTAGTTATGGCAGAATCATAATTGCCTCTCTACTGTTATTTAGTAAATTTAAATGTCTAGTAATAGAGGCAGTGTATACGCCTTCTTACTTAAGACAACAAAATGATAATACTTATTTCCTTATTGCAAGGATCTATCATTCATTAATTGAAAATGAATTACATTGAATTAAAATTAAAATTGAAATCGAATAACTAATAAAGGGAAAAAAACACCATTTCATAACCATCAGAGTTATATATTCAGCAAATAAATGATTATTAATTAATTAATTAGCATCAGTGCTATAACTCATAAACTAAAGTAACACTATACTAGACTATACTAATGTGGTTGCTATACTATTTAAGTTAATATATAATACTTGAATATCTTATAATTAGAAGAGTGACAAGTCACGCAACGTCACGCTGCAAGTCAATTTCCTTGACTTGCTTTACTACCTATTATAATCATCGTTTTAAAGCGATTATGCTATTAGATTCTAATAAAAAGATCTATTTATTCCTAAACTATATCTACTTTCTAATATGGTACAACAGTACGGAGTTACTATGCATTAGCTAATCTATGTAATTCCTAGAATAGATTAACTAAGTTCCTTAACACTATTTATAAATTACTACTATTTACCCGTAGTTTTATTTATACAACAGTAATTGTCTATTACGTAATACTGCGATTATTCGTATAGCTTTATAATATTTAATTTCATTTAACAATAAGTCTTGCGTACGTAGAGTAAACTCTCTATATTCTATGACAACATACAACTAATCCAACTGGTTGCACAGCTCCTGTGTACCCGTACACCAAGGAGGGCCACGCGCAAAAATTGTTATTGTTATCAGTCACGAACAATTGTCTTTCCTCAATTAGTTATAAATTATTGGATAGTGGTATAAAGTGTATATTCCTATACACCATCCACTATCGAGACTCGCAGGCTTGTCTGCATTATTATTTGACTAGAAACAAGATCTTCATTGCCAGATTTACATACAATAACGGCGCAGAACACAACATCAACCATAGAACATTAATAAAAATGCATGGGATGCCGTTTCTTTATTAATAATAATATAAATATTATAGCACGCCCATATTTCATATATATCACTCCAGAGAGCCTCGACTCCAAGTTCATTCATACATTATTTTCAAATTGAAGATGTTGATGTACTAATTATCAAGTAATAATCAAATGTTTCAAATACGTTATATGGTCCAAACCGTCTGATTAATTTAATTGTCAATAGTTTGACAGACTACATTGATGAGGTTAAAGTGTAACAACAATGTATCTTAGGTGTACAACACAGACGGCACACTACCAACCTAAAGTTGAACACGCGCGCACTGCGCACATACGACAATCCGTCCACTGCGCGTCTGCTTGATGATGACGTATGAAGCACCCAATCGTACCACCACTAATTTGAACACGCGCGCATTGCGCACAACTCAGAAAAATACTGACTGCGCAGCCCGCACTAAATATACACTTTACTGTACTTTACAGTTAACCGTATAAATAATTATTAATTACGATTTAAACTGCACGGTATGCAACTATTATCCAACAGTTTATCACATATCACACATATCACAGTACTCCAAACTGCAAAAGAAGTCTTTAGGAAAGCAAAATCAAGCAATCCAGCGCTATCACACGAGGAAGAAGGACGGAGCTACACAATGTTAATTGTCACTTTAAAACACTGTAAAGCATCAATCAGCGATTTCCTTTCGCAAATGAGTGCTTAATTAGTCGCCACACTAAATAAACTAAAGTCAAAAAAGCGTACTTGTACCTTCAATGATATATTACACGCAATGAGGTGCCACGTGGATGTCACTAGGGACGGGAGAGTCTGACCACAGAAAATTGTTAATAATTAGCATTAACAGCGTCACACAATGACACCCACACAATATATGATGCACTAATTTTCACTTTTTCGAAAGTAGGGTTTAAATGATTCCCCACGTCACGAAACGTCGAAAAAACTCGTTTTTAAATTTTCCCCCACTAAATCGACATTTAGTGGGAGATAGTCTCATTTCACTCTCCTAACCTAACCTAACCTAACCTAACCTAACCTAACCTAACCTAACCTAACCTAACCTAACCTAACCTAACCTAACCTAACCTAACCTAACCTAACCTAACCTAACCTAACCTAACCTAACCTAACCTAACCTAACCTAACCTAACCTAACCTAACCTAACCTAACCTAACCTAACCTAACCTAACCTAACCTAACCTAACCTAACCAATCCTGACCAATCCTGACCAATCCTGACCAATCCTGACCAATCCTGACCAATCCTGACCATCCTGACCAATCCTGACCAATCCTGACCAATCCTGACCAATCCTGACCAATCCTGACCAATCCTGACCAATCCTGACCAATCCTGACCATCCTGACCAATCCTGACCAATCCTGACCAATCCTGACCAATCCTGACCAATCCTGACCAATCCTGACCAATCCTGACCAATCCTGACCAATCCTGACCAATCCTGACCAATCCTGACCAATCCTGACCAATCCTGACCAATCCTGACCAATCCTGACCAATCCTGACCAATCCTGACCAATCCTGACCAATCCTGACCAATCCTGACCAATCCTGACCAATCCTGACCAATCCTGACCAATCCTGACCAATCCTGACCAATCCTGACCAATCCTGACCAATCCTGACCCTGACCAATCCTGACCAATCCTGACCAATCCTGACCAATCCTGACCAATCCTGACCAATCCTGACCAATCCTGACCAATCCTGACCAATCCTGACCAATCCTGACCAATCCTGACCTAATCCTGACCAATCCTGACCAATCCTGACCAATCCTGACCAATCCCCTGACCCCCCCCCCCCCCCCCCCCCCCCCCCCCCCCCCCCCCCCCCCCCCCCCCCCCATCCTGACCAATCCTGACCAATCCTGACCAATCCTGACCAATCCTGACCAATCCTGACCAATCCTGACCAATCCTGACCAATCCTGACCAATCCTGACCAATCCTGCCCCCCCCACCAATCCTACCAATCCTGACCAATCCTGACCAATCCTGACCAATCCTGACCAATCCTGACCAATCCTGACCAATCCTGACCAATCCTGACCAATCCTGACCAATCCTGACCAATCCTGACCAATCATCCTGACCAATCCTGACCAATCCTGACCAATCCTGACCAATCCTGACCAATCCTGACCAATCCTGACCAATCCTGACCAATCCTGACCAATCCTGACCAATCCTGACCAATCCTGACCAATCCTGACCAATCCTGACCAATCCTGACCAATCCTGACCAATCCTGACCAATCCTGACCAATCCTGACCAATCCTGACCAATCCTGACCAATCCTGACCAATCCTGACCAATCCTGACCTAATCCTGACCAATCCTGACCAATCCTGACCAATCCTGACCAATCTGACCAATCCTGACCAATCCTGACCAATCCTGACCAATCCTGACCAATCCTGACCAATCCTGACCAATCCTGACCAATCCTGACCAATCCTGACCAATCCTGACCAATCCTGACCAATCCTGACCAATCCTGACCAATCCTGACCAATCCTGACCAATCCTGACCAATCCTGACCAATCCTGACCAATCCTGACCAATCCTGACCAATCCTGACCAATCCTGACCAATCCTGACCAATCCTGACCAATCCTGACCAATCCTGACCAATCCTGACCAATCCTGACCAATCCTGACCAATCCTGACCAATCCTGACCAATCCTGACCAATCCTGACCAATCCTGAACCAAATCCTGACCAATCCTGACCAATCCTGACCAATCCTGACCAATCCTGACCAATCCTGACCAATCCTGACCAATCCTGACCAATCCTGACCGAATCCTGACCAATCCTGACCAATCCTGACCAATCCTGACCAATCCTGACCCCGACCAATCCTGACCAATCCTGGACCAATCCTGACCAATCCTGACCAATCCTGACCAATCCTGACCAATCCTGACCAATCCTGACCAATCCTGACCAATCCTGACCAATCCTGACCAATCCTGACCAATCCTGACCAATCCTGACCCCAATCCTGACCAATCCTGACCAATCCTGACCAATCCTGACCAATCCTGACCCCCAATCCTGACCAATCCTGACCAATCCTGACCAATCCTGACCAATCCTGACCAATCCTGACCAATCCTGACCAATCCTGACCAATCCTGACCAATCCTGACCAATCCTGACCAATCCTGACCAATCCTGACCAATCCTGACCAATCCTGACCAATCCTGACCAATCCTGACCAATCCTGACCAATCCTGACCAATCCTGACCAATCCTGACCAATCCTGACCAATCCTGACCAATCCTGACCAATCCTGACCAATCCTGACCAATCCTGACCAATCCTGACCAATCCTGACCAATCCTGACCAATCCTGACCTAATCCTGACCAATCCTGACCAATCCTGACCAATCCTGACCAATCCTGACCAATCCTGACCAATCCTGACCAATCCTGACCAATCCTGACCAATCCTGACCAATCCTGACCAATCCTGACCAATCCTGACCAATCCTGACCAAATCCTGACCAATCCTGACCAATCCTGACCAATCCTGACCAATCCTGACCAATCCTGACCAATCCTGACCAATCCTGACCAATCCTGACCAAATCCTGACCAATCCTGACCAATCCTGACCAATCCACGTGAGAAGGCTGGCGCGCACGTGCGAAGACTCCCAATCACGTGCGAAGACTGCCGCGCATGCGAGAAGACTCCCAATGACGCGCGAAAGAGTATCACGCATGCGCGAAGACTCCCAATCACGCGCGAAGACTGCCGCTCTTGCGAGAAGACTCCCAATCACGTGCGAAGACTGCCGCGCATGCGAAAAGACTCCCAATGACGCGCGAAGGCTATCACGTATGCGCGAAGACTCTCAATCACGTGCGAAGACTGCCGCGCATGCGAGAAGACTCCCAATGACGCGCAAGGGCTATCACGTTTGCGCGAAGACTCCCAATCACATGCAAATACTGCCACGCATGCGACAAGCCTCCCAATCACGTGCGAAGACTGCCGCGCATGCGAGAAGACTCCCAATGACGCGCGAAGGCTATCACGTATGCGCGAAGACTCCCAATCACGTACTAAGACTGCCGCGCATGCGAGAAGACTCCGAATCACGTGCGAAGACTGCCACGCATGCGCGAAGACTCCCAATCACGTTCGAAGACTGCCGCGCATGCTAGAAGACTCACGATGACGCGCGAAGGCTATCACGTATGCGCGAAGACTCCAAATCACGTGCGAAGACTGCCGCGCATGCGAGAAGACTCCCAATCACGTGCGAAGATTGCCGCGCATGCGAGA